GTGTAGAGCGGAGAAGCATCTTACTCTTTAAATGATAATTTTGGCTCAGTGGGGTTGCATATGTTATGTGGTTTTTAAATGATAACCTAGGAGACAGGGGTTAGAGGACAACTTTTGTGAATGCAAATGAATGGTATGTGTTCTTGTTTCATACTTGAGGAATCTCATACTGTTGGAAAGGAGCCTGACACATATAATCCAGACAGTGAATAGTTAGTTCTTTGTCAGATCTTTGGGCAGTTTAACTTCACTGTCCAGTGTCCTGCACATGGCCATTAAGTCTTGACCACTCAGGTCCAGATCTTCCCACCAGACCAGTGTTTCTCAAATTAGAAAATCATAGACCTTCTAGACCTTCTAGCTCTTTGGTCCCCACACCACCAAGCAGGCCCAAACAATCCTATGCCTAGCTCCTGCTCACACAGTATACAGCTCTGATTCATCCACGGTATACAGCTTCTTCCCTCAGATTCATATACATTCACTCTTCCTGGGAGAACTCCCTCTCTGAACTCAGGAACTGGACATATAACATCAGAGATGAATGACTCTACCCTTCTCAGTCATCAGTGTGAGTGGAGTGGTAATCCTTCCTTTGGAGAACCCAGAATATTGAAAGCGTATTAAGTAATAACACACCACCACCCTGGTTGAGAAACACTGTTCTTGGTGACTTTTTAAATATTGCGGACCCACCAATGGTATTCTGTCTCCATTGAGAGCCTGCATTCTATTAATTCGAGCTAGTAATGAAATTTTCATAACGGCTATATGCAAAATCCACCTTCAGTCACCCCACTTCAAAGGGGAACCACCCTTAAGACACCTCCAACTCCTCTGTGGGGTGTTACTGTTTGGGAATCAGTAACTTAAGCTGGATGAGGAGCTGGAGATGTTGACTTGCAGGTATCATCCACACCCATTAAAATTGTTGCTAGTATTGCCAGACTTTGGTAGCAAAACTCTCCCCTTCTTTTTAAAAAAACAATTCTGGACTAAGCCCTCAGCTCAGATCCATCGCTATAACAATAACAGGGTGGTTATGATTAACTTCATTGTAGGAAAGAATTTGGAACTGTTTCACCTGTAGAACAAACTTGGATTCTTCCATGAGAAAGAGTTCAAGATGAAACGTCTTTTCAAATCCTAACCTGAAGATCTAAAGGAAAAGCACCCAAAATTCATTCCAAAGTGCTTTGGTGTGAGAGGTGGATTTTGCTTATATCAGAAGAGAGTGTTGGCCCTAAAAGTCTTGGAGCCAACAACCTAAATTTCCCCTTCTAATTATTTTAAGAATTGCCATGGCAGAAACTGAAAGCCTGGCTTGAGGTCCAGCCATTGCCAGAGTGGCTTCTCAATGGTCACAGAACATCAACACTGAGTGAGTTTTGCAAAGCCTCTTGTGCAAATGAAAAGAATCACGAGGTCCATGTGAAAGTCTGGGTATGGTCAGATCCAGGCATCGGCAGATGTGGCCCATCCCTCCAAAATAAGATACACACTTTGCATCTTGGGTCATGTTCTATTCAAGAATGTTCACTTATGCAATGCTGTCGATTCATTCTTGCATTTGATTTGCTCATATGTCTCAGACGTCTAATTGGGATGAACATGGTACTTCAGCTGAAGAGCAAAAGGTCATTTCCAACCTCTTCAAATACTGCTCTCTGTTTTTCCTTTGCTTGCCAGGGAGAGATGGGTGATTCTGGGAAACTTCCTAGGCAGCACAGTCAGTTCAAGCAGCTCACTGGCTAAGACTGTCAGGCCTCACTCTTGCCCTGCATGAACTGAGAGTGTGCCCTATATTACAGCCGCCCCTTCCCCTGTGGCTGTGTGTACATTGCAGGGAAACATTAGCAGTGATAAGCAAGCTGTCTTTCTCGGAATGCTTGTCTGCCATGCTGGCTGCTCTTAGGTATCCAGGAAGCCCTGATAAGACTTCTCAGGAACCCTAGAGTGACACAGATTGAATGCCGCTGATCTAGAATCCATTTATATTGCCTTTTTTCCAGCTGTTGGTGAATGTGGGAAATATATATATTTTTTAATATCCAGGTGCTCACACCATCAGATACACTCTGGACTGCAGAAGATGTTTCTGGATCATTTTTTTAGGGAGCATGGCCAGCGCTCCAATCCTGTCAATTGATACCATAGATCAGGCATCCCCATAGATCAGTCCAGATGTTTTGGGACTACAGTCCCCATCATCCCTGACCACTGGTCTTGTTAGCTAGGGATGATGGGAGTTGTAGTCCCAAAACATCTGGAGGGCTGAGTTTGGGGATGACTGCCATAGATGCTACAGGGAAAAGGTTTCGTTACACTCAGTCACTTGCAGAGTCTTTGCATCAGTGTAAACGGCTGCAACAGGAGGGATTTCCTAAATTGCAGAAGTCCGCCTTTGTCCAAAGAGTATCTTGCATTGGTGTTACAAACTTTCAAGCAAAGGGGTAGGGAGATTCCCTCCACATTTACCTGCTCCCACCCCACGCACTGGCATGACAGTACACACACATAACTGGTAAGGCAGGGATAACTAAGTGCTCCCCTATTCCTTGAGCTAGAACAGGGTTTCCCAGGCTTGGCCCTCCAGCTGTTTTTGGACTACAACTCCCATCATCCCTAGCTAGCAGGTCAGGGATGATGGGAAATGTATTCCCAAAACATCTGGAGACCAAAGTTTGGAAAACCCTGAGCTAGAACTACCCACTGAGACAGTATCAGAACAAATCCCGCCATCCTCTGTCAAAGGTGCGGACAAAATCCAATTGCAGCCATACCATACAGACAAGCAATGGGCAGAAAGCACTCAGTTATCTATGGAAAGGCTAGACAACATTATAAACATCTCAGTGCTAAGATTGCTGTCCAAAGAGGCTTGTAATCTATGCGAGTCACAAGTCATGAAAGACCCCACACCCCATTTCTGTTATATGCAGGCAAAGAAGTCACAGTCAACGACAACAGGAAATCTAGTTTAAAAACAAGAAATGTGGAAGACACAGATTTTGCATGTTAAGGGGAGTGGAATTCAGTTTTATCCAAGCACTTAGAGGCACCAGGGCTCAGGATAATTGCTGGTATTGTACTGAGCAACAGCCCAGTACAAACGATACACTTGATGCAAGAGCTCTGCATTTTGACTGACTATGTTCTTCTTAGCTAGGACCTCCCTTTCTACCCAAGCAAAATCCGCGTGAAAATATTTTACATGGCAAAAGGTTTAGGCTGCAATCCTACATTCGCCTACTTGGGAGAAAGTGCCATTTAACTCAGTGTGACTTACTTTTGAGTAGATGTGTATAGGATTGCACTGGCAAAGCAGTCAGCCAGGAATGGGAAACCTGTGGCCCTGCAGCTATTGTGAGAAATCCATCACTCCCATCCAGCAAAACTGAGGCTCCCCATCCCTGCAGTAAGGCATACCTACATTACAAATTTATAGTGGGCTTCCCCTAAAAATCCCATGAAAGAAACTTCCTTTAGAGATCCTTAGCCCCCTGCTACCTGGGGACAAGTCAGAGATGTGGCTTTTGCTTATCATCACACATTAGGTCTTCCATTTACTCCAGGTTTGAGAGAGAGAGAGAGAGAGAGAGAGAGAGAGAGAGAGAGAGAGAGATTAAACTCAGAACAGAACAGTAGAGCATGTATCTCATTGGGTTTTTTCACATAGTCCGAAACATCAAAAGTATTCATCAGCATTGAACTGCATTCCTGAGGTCAGCACTGGCATTATGTGTGTGTGCACATGTGCGCGCGCGCACACACACACACACACACACACACGGCAAGCCCTGGAAGGCAAAGCACCAGAACAGGAATCCCTAGGGATGAGGAGAAAGAGTTTGTGTGGAGAGCAGATTCATTGCACACAATCAAGGTTGCTACAGCTGTGCTTTGCTAGGATTGGAGTGCCCAAGTGTTATAAAATATACCTTATGCATAATTATGTGTTCCTGTGTGTGTGTGTGTGTGTGTGTGTGTGTGTACCCATTGCACATGGATATATACATATATAGACACACACATTCAGACTTACCTGCGGTCTTACTCTAAAGAGAACTCTGACAGCATTTCTGGCGTAATGGTCATATTGGTGAAAAGGGATAATCTCAGACTGTCAAATCTTGTCATCTGGTATATCTACTCAGGCATGAGACGCATATTCTGTTTTAATTATATGAATACGAAAGAAAGTGGTTAATGTTTGACATGCCATTTGTAGCTCCACCAATGGCTGCCAACAGTTTAGCTGGTGATTTCTACTCAACGTATAACACACATTCTTCCTTCTCTGAAGTTTTCCAGTGTCTCTGTTCCCATTACTTCTGTTCCTAACCTCTTGTGGTCTTATTTTGACTTGTCCCAGCTGTATTTCCTTCGTTGCAGTTGCACTGTTGGTAAACATTTATGTAACTTTGCTACCTGCCATTCACCGAATGACAAGGGCATCTTGGAGACATGGCAGCCATTGTTAAGATTTTAATTTTTTTTAATGTCTTGGCTTAAACTTCTGTATAATTGCATTCAGTACTGCTCATTTTGTGTGTTCTGCTCCACCAAATAATAGCGATATAGTATCCCAACATCTTCCTTACCTTTTATACTTGGAGTTTTTTTTTCATGGGCACATCCAAGATGAATTCAACTTTCAAGAAACCTTGGATATTGTTTAATCATCTGTGGAGGAACAAAGAATGTGCTTGATTACTTCGGTTGAATAGCTTTATACTGGATCTCTCTTAACTAAAGCTAAATCCAAAGACCTACGGAGGACAAAAACCAGCAAAACGTAAAGCTCAGACCGACTTACGGGAATAGCAACCTCCTTTTTTTTTACCCAAAAAAAAGAGGAGAAGGGGCAATGACATAGCTATGGGGGAACAAAAATTCTGATGTTTTTCTTGCTTGTCACCATATTTAAGTATTTTGTGATTTTTTTTATAGATTATGCTTGGCCTACTCTATATTTATTATGGGAATTATTATTTTTGCTATTGTTTAAAAGTTACGCCAGTCATCTTCAAAGCCTTTATTTCTTTCCTGATAATGTTGGGGCTATATTGGTGGTTATCGATTGTAAGATTTGCTTTGATGAGATCAAGACCTAAGCCAAAAGCCTTAGCTCCAGTTAAATTTTCCTTCCGACCAAAGCTTCTGTTGGTTCCAATGGAGCCAGTGCGCCATCTTGGATTTTCGGATGCGACTTTAGCTGGAGCTAAAACGGTAGGGTCAGATTTCTGTTGATTACCCTTTGTGATTATTTTGATGACGTTGCTGGTTATTTTGGTCGCAGCCCACTTGGATGTGCTCCCAAACATGTCCCACTGAAATGAACCAAAGTTGTGCAGGAGCATGGATGCATGCTACTGCCGCAGATTTCAATGGGTCGTGTGCAAGAGCCTTTCCTGCTGGGCTGGGCCTTTTTGTTAGACTTAATTTGCTCTCCCCCCCTTATTTATCAATCCTAGAATCGTAGTGCATCCTAGATGCAAATCTGAGGTTAGCACATAAATTTAATGGGGAGGGAGGGAGGGAGTATTAGTAAAGTTCTGTTACAGACATGGGGGGGGCGGGGAGACAAGGTACCAAAAATATTAAAGAGTCCCCAACCCCTCTCCCCAAACTGCAGCATGCTTTATTTCTTATAATCAATCTCAATGGTTTTATAAAATGATTGACCCTTAAGTTATTTAATTTAATTCCTCCTCACCTCACTCAAAATAATGAAACCAAAAAAACCCAGTGAGGGATACCTTTTTAATTATTATTATTATGGCACATAAGAGCCTTCATAATATAACTTATTTATTTAACTTATTCAGCATCTACTGCAGGTGCCCTTGTATAGTTTATATTTTTATTTTTTTTATGAAATCAACTTAAAGCACTACAACTTATTTGCTGTCAGAACAACAGAGTGATGATGATTTTTCTTTTTTCCTTTTCTCTTTTTGGACAAGCAAGGAATATTTTGTCTAAACCATGCATTCAGGAACAACAGGGGATTTTTTAAAGAAAAAAAAAAAACCAAGACACTGCAACACTTTGCCTGAACTTTGTGGCTTTTTAAAAACTTAAGCTGGGGGAAAAAAATATAAAATAACAACAAGCAAAAAATAATAATAATAAACGAATAAAAAAAACCTAAAAAGAGAGAAACCCTTAAAGTAGCTGCTTCCAAGAATGAACTTTGTGTGTGTGTAAAAAAAATAAAAATTAAAAGGATTAAAAAAAAAACTGAAAAAGGAAAAAAAAACTTTCTATTTCTAGTGAGAACCAAAGAGGCTACCTCACTGACTTTTTCCATTTGTAATTTTAATCGTGTTGATGATACCAAAGATACCAAAGATTTCTTTCTCTGTGCGGTCTGCATTTTGCTTGTGCTCTTTATAGTTTTAACTTTTCCTCCTTTACATCCAGTATGTACAGCTGCAACTTAGATGCCCTGTCCTCTGTCCCGACAAACACCGTTATCAGAGGGAACTGCTAATTCTGACAAAGTCATTTTCTGTGTTTTATCCTTCTGCCACCCCCTCTTCCCCCTGCCCCAGTCCCTACCCACTGCCTCCCAAAAAAATGAGACCCACAGCTCGATCTCAGGCACAGTTGCCTTCTTACAGCAAGAATGATCCACATGCAGAAAAGAGAGGGGTGTGGGTGTAGCTGATTGAATTGCCCAGCAATTTTTGCATTATGACGCTCACGCTTGCTACTCTGAAGGATGGCAGCATGCATGCCTTTCTGGAATGACCTGAATCAGAAAGACGTACAGAATCTAGCATCGCGCTCCCTGGAGCAGACTCTCCAAGTGCCCCTGTTTTCCAGGGACAGTCCCTGATTTACAGAAGCCATCCCAGTTTCTGAATGTCCTTCATTTTCCTTAGGACACCCCCATTTTCATCAGATAAATGTTGGGGGGTATGGAGTTACATGACCTCCAAGCCAAGGAGATACGCAACTACACAATCTTTAGAAGACATCTGAAGGCAGCCCTGTATAGGGAAGTTAAAAAAAAGACGAAGTTTTATTATGTTTTTATATATGTTGGAGTGGCTGGAGCAACACAGTCAGATGGGCGAGGGTATAAATGGTAAAATTATTATTGTGGAATCGGACATCCCTGTTTTCATCAGAGAAATGTTGGATGCTCTGCTGGAGTGGCCTTAGCCAGCTGAATGGGAATGTGAGTCCCTTTCTGGAATCTAGTTAAGTTTACTGGATCTAGTTGCCCATGACTGCAACTTGATTGGGACTATGGCCTGGGACCGATGGGGAGAGACAGTCGCTTGGTGCTAGGACACAGGCTATGCACCCAGAAGGGCACAGGTTCAACCACTGCCATCGCCCATTAAAATTAAATAATGTATCGCTGCTGAAGGAAGCATGAGATACACTACAACTATTACTGTGGATTACAATTGATGGGTAACAGGTGGTAGCAGCTTAACTCCTGAGAGAATGCAGCTCTTGAAGACCAAAATTGTTGCCCGCTACTAGCTAGCTGGACCGGACCAATGGTCTGACACAGCATAATTTAGCTTGGTTTGTTCATAGACATGCAGCAAGTGCACCAGTTTTAAGGGGACTCACATTAACTTGAGGGGAGCATTCAGACTCTGTGTAAGACTGTGATTATAGATTCCCATCCTTGGATGTAAGTTCCACTGAGATCAATGCAATCTCCAAGCAGGTGTGTTTAGGGTCCGGGTCAAATAAATGAATGTGCTAATCATACCCTTAAAGCAGGCTTTGCCTAACCCGGCATCCTCCCAGTGTTTTGGACTACGATTCCCATCATCCCCAGATGGCCGGGGATGATGGGCATTGTAGTCCAAAACATTGGGAGGGTGGGCAGGTTGGTGAAGGATGCCCTAAATTATACCCTTCCTTGGAAGTAAATCCAACTAACACCAGTGGTGCCTACTTCAGAGCAACTGTGGCTGGACCATCAACCTATGCATTTGATTAACTTCAGTTTGCCCAGTGTTCTTCTGGCTTGTGGCCATTTGGAGGTGGAGCTCCAGCCATGTGGGCTTCTGTGAATGCACAAACTTCCAGGACGATCATGTTTCATTTCAGCAGAAGCTCAGCAAGGCACCTCTTCGAATGCAAGGAACTGCCACTTCATTGAAGAGCTTGATTCTCATGCAAGCTTCTGCACAAGGATCAGGGTAGATGTGTTTGAGATCAAGCTGTGGGGATCTACAAAGTAAAGAAGGCAAATGTGTTGAACATATTTTATTGCTATTCTTGTTGTTCCTAGGAAATTACCTCAGCCGTTGTTGTTTCTCCTTCTGCTAGCTGCTAAATACTTGTTGGAAATATCTGAGGGACTTCACCCAAGATTTGTTGACACCATTTGATTCTGGCATACTCAGGTTGTCTGTGTGTCTTAGTTTACAATACATAGTCATTTATTTCAGGACAGTCCTCTACTAGAAATCCAGTTTAAAGGGATAAGAAAAGAGAGTAAACAAAAAATCACAAATATGCATCTTTTGATTATTATTATTATTTGAAAAAGCAAACCACAGGCAGATTAAATCAGTATAGTTTAAATGGTAAATGGAGCAATGGCCTGCCTCAGTATAAGGCAACTTCCTGTACTCCAAAATATTCAAAAGACCTTGTGAAATGTGCTTTCAGAAGTTCCTCACAAACTCTGAGGAGAACTTGCTTCCAGGTTTTTCCTGGGCTCGGAATTCCATAAAAATGACGCAGGAGAAGACCCTTTCCAAGCCATCACCAATTCGGCCTCCCCAAAAAGAACACCTGAAGCAGGAACTCACTGTCCCGGGGGGGGGGACCTGCTTCTTAGAATACTGTTTAAACCATCTCTATTCTGCCATTTCCCAGCTTAAAAATTTGCAAAGCTCGTTTTACCTATTCCCAGAGTTTAACAATCAACCCCACCCTGGAAACAATAGCCCTGTGAGGCGAAAAGGGGTGGGGTGGGGGAAGCCATGGCTGTTTATAATAGTATATTAATGTATAGTGCAGATGAGACCTTGGTTTAGTTTAGTTATTATTATTATTATTATTATTATTATTATTAATGCCTATTTCTAAGAAAGATCCAAGGCATCTTACAGCAGATTAAAATATACAAAAAGTAAAATGAGACAATATTGTATACAAATGTAATTAATAATAGTAACAATGGTTCCTCTCCCATCCTCCACTTTGCTTTTTTCCAACAAGGTTTTAGCAGATCGGCATAGATTTTTTGACGTGCAAACTGTGCCCTTCGTCAGTTCAACACAACGAAACCCCAATCCTGTCACAGATTCCTTTTTGCCTTCGCATCCTTCCTTTCCCCTCCTTCCTCCCATCCCCTCCATATGACGTACTTCACCCCCCTCCCACCGCCACCAGTTTCTTGACTCCTATTGTGTAAAGTTTTCTACATTGCGTATGGCGATATGCCTTCAACATAGAGCTATAATAATTCTCAGGATGCCTTCCATGTGTGGAAGACAATGATTGATCCTTTGTGTTGAGCCCTTCCCGGCCGGGCCCTCCGTCGACCTCTCGCCCTGCAAGGGAACGTCGAAGGAAGTCCCAGAGCCTGGACACAGAAAATGATGCAAAATTGGCAGGGCCCTTTGATGGCAAACCACATTTCCTATCAGACTCATGCTTCACGTGCAAAGTGTGAACTTACCACAGGATGAGTGCCTTGCTTGAACCAAAGCAACGATTTTGCCAGTCTAGACCTCTCTGTGCTTTTTTTTTAATTCTTCCTGTGAATACCTCAGCGTCAACTGGGCCGCCATATTGTAACTGGTGGGCTTATTGTACTGTGGTGCTTTGCAATGCAACCCTGCAAAGAACATGACTTGTAATAATAATACCAAAGGTCCTTTCCTTTTCTTCTTCTTCTCCTTCTCCTCCTCCTCCTCCTCCTTTTCCCTCCTTCTCTTCCTCTCCTCTCTCTTTCTTCATGGTTCCAAAGCTTTAAAATATAACCATGGGCATGTTGGCAACGCAGACCGCTCAATTCCTTACCGAATTTTCTCAGATATACCTCATAGATGATAGTGTTTAGAGTAATGTTATTATAGCGTATGTAATAAATTATTCACTTGTTTCATTTTGGTAACTGTGATTTAAAAGAAATAAAAAAAAGCTTTATACGTTTTAGGTTGTGCTTTTGTAATAGACAGGAAAAAAAAGGTGCGCTTAAAGTTGTATGTCCGTCTTTCTTCCCTTTGGATTTTTATTTATTCTGGATTGGGAAAAGTTGCAGAATGAGCCCAAAGTTTACAGTTTTTCATATTTTGCTGAAGAAACAATCTGTGTTAATTTGCTCTGTTGA